CCCCCCCCCGACTCCCAGTCCGCCACGGCCCTTACCTGAGGACTGGCAGTGGGATGCCCAAGGCTAGCTTGGCAGCCACGTAGGCCAAGGGGTAGCCCGTGGCCTTGCTAGCCAGCGCCGAACTCCGCGACAGCCGGGCGTTCACCTCAATGATGTAGTACTGCAGGAGCAAGAAAAGACAAGAGGCCGGCATCCGCCGTTCAGCGGCGCGTTCGTCCGGAGAGAGCCGGCTTGCTCCCCAGGAAGGGCCAGTGCTTGACAGGAGCGCCCGAACCCCGCAGGCAGGCAGGCAGGCAGGCAGGCAGGCGGGCAGGTGGTCCCGGGTTCCCTGCTTGGCAGCGCCCTCCACAGGCAGGGCTGGGAAGGGACCCCCTTGCCCGGCCCTCCCCCTGAAGAAGCCCTGCTCCTCCTCGGGGCCTCCCAGGGCACAAGGAAGACGGGCACCTCCCGGTGGACTCCCGACGGCTGACGGCAGGTGGGGGAGCTTTCCCTAATCCCAAAAGTTAAGGAACCCGCTCTCTTGGAAGCGCACTCAGGAGGAAACAACCTTGGCTCCCCCTGTCATTCGGCTAATCAATAATCACTTATCTCTCAGCCTCGGTTGGGAGTGTTAAGAGGCTGCCCTCTGTACCTCAGGGACAGAACTGGATCCGCTCCTACGGGGTTTCATTCGTGCAGGTGTTTGCCTGCTGAACCCCCACCCACCTGATGTGGATCGAGCCCCAACTGGCAGCTCTAATAAGGGGCAAAGTCGACCATCCTTCCAGCCTCAGCCTGCCTCCTCCCTGCCGGGAGGCTCTGCAGAGCTGCAGACGCTGAGGGTCCGGTCCCGTGCAAAGCCCACCTGCTCTGACAGAGGTGCAAGCCCCTCGACGCAGCCAGTGTGCTTCTCCACCACCTGTGAAGACGCCCAAATTGGGGGGGGGAGGAGAGGAGGATCTGGCAACCACCCTCCACCTCCCTGGCCCTTGCCGCCCCCTTGGGGTCTCACCTGCTCTGACTCAGGGTTTAGCGCGTACTGGACGTTGCACTCGCCGACAATGCCCAAGTGCCGGACCACCTTGATGGCCGTGGTGCGCAGGAGGTTATACTCCCGGTCGTTGAGGGTCTGGCTGGGGGCCACCACGATGGACTCCCCTGTGTGGATGCCCAGCGGGTCCAAGTTCTCCATGTTGCACACCTGTGACGGGTGGGTAAGCGGAAGGAGCAAGAGAGATCAGGGAGGGCTCCCGTCGCGGCTCTACCCACAAAGAGACAGACAGAGAGGTCCCCAGGCCACCAGATCACCGGGGAGGGGGTGTGTGTCTCATCCTGTCCCTCCTACCACAGGAGAAGGTTCGCAGTCCCGCAAGCCAGAGGGCTCCGCGTCTATCCCAGCCACGCTCACAACGGGCGAGCCCAAGGGTGTCTCACAACATTTTCTTCTAGACAGATGGACATTACGCTCACAACGGGCGAGCCCAAGGGTGTCCCCTGGCACTGCCCTCAGATCTCACAACGTTTTCTTCTAGACAAATGGACATTTTGCACCTGCAGAAGGTAGTG